TATCGGTTGACTGTAGCTAACTATATGATCAAAAAAATTACAAAGTGGACAGTGCAAAAAACAACTTGATAAATGGAAGTTAATCACAGCAAAACAAACAAAGAAGGCGCTAGCATTGCAATTTAAATGACTAGATAATGTTGGCATAATCCCATAGACTGTATATATCAATAATCCTCACCATCACCTTTTTATCAAATCAAACTTTCTACCAGTTACTGGAAGACCATGACATTCAAGCCAACGTTATAATTGGTCTACACTATGATCCCTGATGGTTTGATGGTGGAATTTTGCTCCTGGTATTTCATTTTCTTCTAAAGTGACAAGTGGTATTTGATTCATTTTGGCAGTGTTTGTCCGAAACATGTGGGCGGGAGTTGACAGGCGGCGGGGGCGTGTCTTAGTGACGTCATTCAGATAGTTCGCTATTAGACAGCCCTTACAATTCAAAATGTATTCAATAACTGCAAATAAAATAGTTAGCTCCCAAAGGTTTCACCGGGACGTGCTAGGCAGGTAACAGCTAAGCTAGCTAGCTCCCTGGAACTATAAGTTAATGGTTACTTCTGGGTTTTTCGCGATCGCTTTTTGTCACATTAAAATAGTAATTTGTCATGAAAACGATAACAAGAAATTCTGAAAAAGTCTGTGCATGTGTGTTAAGGATGTATATGTATACTATATTGTCCGATTAACATTTAATGGTGTTGATTGATAGATATGTAGTTGTTTATTGAACGTGGCTAGCTCCGCTAGCTTCTCTCGTTGTACTTGCGGAGTAATGGTATTTTACTCACCTGAATTACAAACAGAGATTGCATTGTCAAAGGGCAGCGGTCATTATTGATTTGAGAGTTCTGTTATCAAGAAAAAATGATCGGTAGGATTACATTCAAGTCTATGGAGTGTTCTGCTGCTGCTGTGAGGAGCTGTATAATAAATTATAATTAAATATTCTAATATATTCTAATGTTTTAATGTATAAATTTGGATGCAAAACTAGCAGTAAACTTTTACCTATGTATTGTGTTAGCAGTGCGTTGCTTTAGTACCATTTCATCAGTGATTGTTGTACAGCTTATAAGAAGATGTGCTAATGCTAATGTTAGCATACATGTCAGATCGCAAATTGAACTAGATGGCTCTGTGTTATGAGAGCGTAGGAGAAATGATAAGCCATTGAGCGAGTTGGGGGGCGGTGCTAAACATTCAAACCTTGCAGAAACGGGTATAGCGCCTTTAATATATACGGTCTACGGGTGCAACCCAGCAATTCTGCTAATCTTTCGGTCCCAGTGAAGCACAAGCCATTCATTTGAATACAGCGCCATCTTGGATCACCGGGGCTTGGTGCGCGCTAACGAGAGACCTGTAGCTTTTCTCAAGATAGAGGCCAGAGGACTGCTGTGATTGGTCACAATCTGGTTCTGAAATGAATTCTCTTCCACGTTGGGCATAAATTCGATCTAAAATAAAACTACACTCCAGTACAAACCAGTACTACTTATGTTTCAAAAGGTTGTATATCCCAATGCACTGCATGGATATGCATTGAATTTTCCTAATGAATACAAAATTAAAGGTAATCCATCTTTAATGTTAGCTTGTTCCTATTGACATCAATGTTGTCTAGTTCCTGTTGACCCTGTTAGCTAGTTTCTTTTGACGTTAAGGCAGCTAGCATCATCATTGACATCATCCTGTTGACGTTAATGTTAGCTAGTTCTTGTTAACATTAGTGTTAACAAGTTGCTCTTGACGTTAACGTTAGCTAGTTCCTGTTGACAAGCTAGTTCCTGTTGATGTTGGTGTTAGCTAGTTACTGTTGATGTTAGTGCTAGCTGGTGTTAATGTTATAAATGTGTCATAAAAGCTCTATATACCTCGCATATACCTTTCTGGATCTTTGGGGAATTTATAAAATGGAGTTGATCAGTTGTACTTTGGCTGCAGTTGATGCACTGTTTGGTTGTTTCCATTTATTTTCAGACATAGTGTTATTGCTATGTATGTCGCTATGGTAATGTTACCTGAGAAAGAAAGATGTCTTCTGATGCACGTCCGAGTTCCCCTTCGCCATCCGGCGTCGGACGTCGTCGTTGCTCGACCTGTCGGGGCAAGCTCCAACGCAAGGACCAGCACTCCAGCTGCTTCATGTGCCTGGGTGCGGGCCATGCGGCGTTGAGCGCCACCTGCGCCTCGTGTGTCGCTCTCCCCAGGGAGGAGAGTGAACGCAGGCGCGCGTTCTTCGCCGCTCCAGCGCCCCGTCCGGACTCCTCTAAGGACGAGGAGTCTGAGATTGACTGGGCCCCCCTCGACATTCCACCTGTGCCCGCGGAGGTGGGGTGACTGCGAGGACGGAGAGGTGTCGGAGGTCGGCTCTCTCCTCACGCTGGACGAGGTGGTGTCCAACCCGGAGCCGGACCGCTTCCCGCTGGACCACATGCCTGGGCTCTACGCCACGGCGGCGGCCATCATGGATGCCCCCCTGCCACCGCAACCGAACCAGAGGGTGGAGGACTTCACCTCTGGGTACGCAGCCCCTCGAGGGAGGAGGAGAGCCCAGCCCACGTTGTGCCCGCGTATGGACCCGATCGTCCATTACGCGACACGTGAGTGGCCAAAACCCCTAGCGGCCAAGAGGCCCGCTTTGGGGTATGGCATGTACTGCAACGTGCAGGGACTGGTCCTGGACAGGCGGGGGTCCCGGACATCGAGGACTCGGTTCGGGCGGCCCTGCACCCCTCCTCATCCGTGTGGCCCAGCACCAGACCTCTCCTTCCCTCCGAGCGGGATAGGATGTCTCTGGCTATGCATGACAGATGTTACGCCAATGCGGCTCAGGTCGTCGCGGTGGCGAACAACATGGCTTTCATCACCGGGGCCCTGGATAGGTCTCTCTCCTCTGACCAGGCACTCAGTGGAGACACCTTAGCCCAGGCGAGGACCACTTCAGCAGCGATCTTGCGCATGTGCCAAGCGCTAGCTGTCGATGGCGGCCGCTCTATGGCAGCAGCCCAGGTCGGGGCCAGACACCTCTGGCTGGGGGCGGTGAACCTCAGAGAGGCGGAGAAGAGGCAGCTGCTGGACCTGCCCATCTCCCAGACGTCGCTCTTCGGTCCGGAGATGCAGACGCTGATGACGAGGCTGGACAGCGCGGCTAAGGACTCGGCTAGCCTAGCAAAACACCTAGCTACGAGACGCGAGGCCCGCCCACCAGCGCGGAGCCGAGACAGAGGCAGGGAGCGCTCGCCTGGCAAGCGCCCCGGACCATATCCACGCTCCGTGGTCCATCGTTCCCCAGCGGCGAGACCCCCGGGCCCAGACAGGCACACGGGAGGTTCGCGGGACCAACACACCCATCGACGGCCTCCCTACGGTAGAGGAGGTCGGGGTGGTAAAAACTCTTTCAATAAAGGCCGTCCGGCATTTCACCAGTACTCGCTGTCTGAGTCTCATTTGGGGGTATGTAACATGTCAAATGATTTGAATTCTGTTTGTGTTAC